GCACCCCAGGACGACACCGTCCTTACAGCGTGGAGGCCGCCGAAGCCACAACCCAGACCCAACTAGCAATGCAGGGGTGCCCAAGGTGCAGCGGAGTCGGAAGACACAAGTTCGGCGCAGGGATAACATTGTTGCAGCAAGGACTACGACGCCCGACTCTGTCCAGGTTCTTCGCGGCCCCGGCGCACACCGACACGCTGGGGGACCCAAGGCCAAAGCTCAACTCAAGAGCCTAGCCCCCATGACAGGCGAGCCGGCTGCCACCCTGGCAGCGCGAAGACCACTGACTTCTGCCGCACCGGGCACTCGTGCCACGCGGTGGGGGCCATGTCACCGCGCGATCGGGGCCGCAGCCATCGCACGACTTGTCACGGGCCTTTCAACGGAGCCAGCGCAGCCTCAGCGACGGCAGCCACCGCCACCACAAGAACCTCCATCGCAACCAGAGCCGCTAGCAGCAGCAGCAACAGCCGCAGCAGACATAGCAGCAACAGTTGCAGCAGACATTGCGGCAGCGGCAGCGAACGCAGCAATGGACGTGGATGGTGGACCGGCAGCCGACGAGACATGGCTGTTGCGCTTTGGCCGCGCATGCCGACGGAACCCAGGACCTGGTGGAGCAGGTGCCGCACTCTTTGCCGCCCAGCGGTGCCGTGGTGTGGACATGCTCGCACTACATGCCAAGCCGCTCCGAAACGAACAACACCGCCGAGTACACGGCGTTACTGCTCGGCGTACAGAGCGCAGTCCACCACGGTGCCTCGCACCTGGAAGTCGAGGGCGACAGCAGCCTGGTAATTGCTCAGGTAAAGGGCACCTTCGCATGCAGGAATGCGCGGCTCCGCCAACTCCGCAACCGAGTGCGTCACGCGCTCCGCTCCGTGGACACGCACAAACTCCGGCACATCGACCGCCAGGCCAACGCGCATGCAGATCGCCTTGCCAACCGCGCGCTAGACCAGCGGAGGACCAGCAGCGAGTGCGGGACGCATGGCTCGTGCATGGACTCCTGCCTCGCCGTACCCACGGCCCCGGCGGCGCAAGAAACGCCACCGGCAGCAACACCCAGCGCCAGTGGCACTTCAGCCGAAGGTAATGCCCATTGGACGACATCGCAGCCCGAGATTGCTGCGCGTGACGAGGGCGAGACCTTTCCCAGTTCTGGCCAAATTGGCCCCAGGCTCTAGCCCCAGAACGGCAACCTCCGACTCCGTCTGCGCCAACTTAGCGATGAAGAGCGCGACGCAGCCGCAGATGCCATGCAGGAGCTCGCCGACACCATGGCGAGTTAGATCGAGGATGCCGACAGCTGGGCCTTCCGGCGAAGGATACATCAGCTCCATCCCCCGAGCGTATCCGAGAGGTACTGCAGCCATACGCTACGGCCCCACCGCAGCCGGGACGCTCTCGCCGGCAACAACGCCGTCGACCACCACGGGTGACGCGCAACCAGCGCGAACATCGACTCGACGAAGCTTTGGACGACATGGCAGCCACACAGCAAGCGACCCCGCGAGACCAGCGGGCTGTGCGCCGTGCGCGGCGACGTGTGGGCCGGGTGCGAGCCTCAATGGCACAACAGGAGCTGCGCCACGAGTTTGCCAAGGACGAGTCCAAGTGTGTGGCCAAGATCCTGAAGACAGCGTCGACAGAGACGGCAGCGGAGGACGAGCACCCGGAGACGTGCCCCATTGATGCAGCTACGCTCCACGCCCATTTCACGGGAGTCAACGTACCAAGGACGGACTTCGACTACGATGCCACCAGCGGCCGGGAGTTCCGAGCGGCGATGAGCGACCTTCCGCCAGCCACCGTGGAGATTGATGCGTTCGACGCGGAGCTGACGATCGACGAGGTGGAGGACCAGGTCACACGCGCGGCCAAGACCTCAAGCCCCGGCCACGACGGCATCGACTACGGCATCTACAGGCGCTTCGCCGCGCAGCTCGTTCCGCTCCTCCACGCGGTGTTCCAGTTCTGCTGGAGACACCGTCGTGTGCCAAGACTGTGGAAGGTGGGCATCGTACGCCTCATCCACAAGAAGGGCGACCCAAGGCAGCCGACTAACTGGAGGCCGATCTGCCTTCAGCCCACGATCTACTAGCTCTACAGCGGGGCTGCTGGCGCATCGGCTCTCACGCTGGCTAGAAGGTAACGACCGCCTGCCGATGGCCCAGAAGGTGTTCAGCGCCTTCAACGGGTGCCACGAGCACAATTTCATGGCTACCACGTTGCTGGGCCAGACTCGCCGGCAGCACCGAAAGCTGTCCCAAGTGTGGTACGACCTTCGCAACGCCTTCGGCTCGCTTCCTCAGCAGCTCATGTGGCGCGTGCTTCGCCACCTTGGCGTCGACTCAGGCTTCATCGACCGCTGCAGGGATATCTACAGGGGCTCGGCCATCGTGGCGAAAAAACGCGGCGGACGGTGCT